GCAGAACCCCCACCCCCACCAGCACTGGCAAGGCAGGCCACAGTAGATAAAGAGAGAGCAAACCCCATCCCATTTTAGCACTGAAGACGTTATCTAGCCGGGTAATGAAATGTTTGCAAGAAAAGAACCAAGCTCAGAGAACCTCAAGGACTCCACAGTTCAACCCTGAGCTACACATATTCGCCTCCATTCCCAAGATTGTTGTATGTGTGCCTTATCCAATGTAATACTTTGTTCTCTGCAGTATCCACAGAATACCCAAACAGAACCAAAACCAAAACAATAAAGTTTTTTTTTTTCAAAGAAATCTGTGTGCTGAAATTTATGTTCACAAGGGTTCCTGGAACTAATGACAAAATCCATTTAAATATGAAGAAAAGAAAAGGCAAAAGATCCTGGGAGGCAAGCAGAAAGTAATTCCCTGCCAAGAAACTCTGTTCATGGAATACTGCCTCTTTGTTCTTTGAAAGCCCTACTGTCTTTGTATCCTGCTCCATTATCTGATAGGTACACCCTGGTTGCCTCACTGGCCTCACAAAGCTCACAGTGTATTAGATGCAATCCAATACCTTGTTGCTGTACCCAATCACAAGCATACTCACGCTCCAACCCTGCCCCCCCCCTTTGGACCTATCTTTGCCTCCAGGGTGGTTACTATACCAGTTCGTGTTTCAAGGGAAGAGTCTCCTGGTCTCTGGTTCAAACGTACCTGCGAAAATTCTCCTACAGGTGACAATCCCATAGGGTTGGGACCTGGAGGAAGTTGACCGTTTGATCTGCTTGGATAGGTAGATAAATACAGGAAAAGCCGTCTCTCAGATAATCTGGTCCAGAGCCACATAGGACCTCAAAGGTGACAACCGGACGCTGAATCACCAGAAGCCAACTGGTGACCAATACAGCTCACAAAGCAGCAGGGTCACCTGAGTGTATTGGAATATATCCCTCACTCTCCAGGCCACCACATTTTGTACCAACAGTAGCTTCTGCATCTTCTTCAAGGGCATATTACAATAGTCCAAACAGAAGTCAATGGGGCATGAGTGTGAGCAGGGCTTCCCAGTCCAGGAAAGGGTGCAACTGGCACACAAAATGTAACCGTGCAAAAGCCCAGTGATGAGACAGCCTCCAACAGCGTTAATTAATTATGACATGCAAAGTTAATAGCCAAATAAATTCACTGCCTTGTTTTATGCCAAGCTGTAACATGTTTGACATCAAAATCACCTTGTTTTTTAGTTGACAGTGAGTTCCACAAGTCTGTCCTCTGCTTCTTTTTTTGATTATTTCCATCAGGATGGATGTGGACCTTGACAATTAAGTAGAACAAGATAACATCAAAGAACAGGAAATGAACCTGCATCGCAATATCAAAGGGGGGGTCCGTACTTCTGTAAAAGCAGCTAAAACCACCACCTATTACAATCTGTCATCAACAAGAGTTATTAGCCCCACTTTCTCCAACTAACGTCAATCAGATCCTTTAGTCTACAATTCCCATCATTCCAAGTTAGACATACTGTAACTAACTTGGGAGTTATGGTGAAGGAGAATTTGAGTGATGAAGCTAAAAGCCCCTAACCCAAATACATATTTTCAGGGGAACTAAACTGTCAGTTCAACCATAAAGCATTATAAGGCCAAGGAATGCTGATAGGCTGGGAAAAGACTCTGGGTGGCGAGCAAAGCTCTGGAAAAGCAAAAGAAAGTCACTCCTAAAGATAAACCACGTTTATGAAATGCTGTCTCTGTTTTTCAAAACCCCACTGCCTTTTTAGTTCTGCCCCATTACCTGATAGTTATGCCCTAATGGCCTCACTGATCTCATTAGGTGCACTATGTGCTGCAGCCAAACAAATACTTGCTGTTGTCTGTATCAATTAATGACATCATTGTTGTATCCAATAACATGCACACTCTGATTTGCTTAAGTCTGTAAACAGAGATGGTAAACTTTCCCCTCTTTGGGCCTGTCTTTAGCCTCCAGCTCTGTCACTAAACCAATTTGTGCTTCAATGTGATTGCATTCTGGTCTCTGGTTCAAATTAGGGAAATTCGCCTACAATAGCATCAAATATCTGGAGGGCATCAGATTGGGTAAAGCTTCACAGAGCTTTTATACATATAAGGGCTGTGAAGAAACAGATGCATTGCATTTTAGAAAACATAACATAGGGGTACTTTATCAACAGCTGACAAATGAAACAAAAACAATTTGATTAAACTGAAGAGCTGTGAAATCTTGTGCTTTCCATTTTCTTAAAATGTAGTGACCATTTTAATTTAATTTAATTTAATTTAATTTAATTTAATTTAATTTAATTTAATTTAGGTGCCACCAGACTCCAAATAACTCTTGCTTAGGCTTTTTAAAT